ATCTCCCTGTTCAACCGTAGGCAGATTCTCTTCAGCGTGAAAACGGTTATCTCTCAGATAACCCGTCACAAGCTCGTGATTTTTCCAACGACTGCATTCCACCTTGTTAAGACCGAATTGCTATCGGAAGTCCAGTACACAGTATTGTTAAGGGCTCGTAACCCAACACAAAAAGAAATCAGAATTCACAAGAGATAGCGTGCCGATCGGAACCGGGTTAAAGATTTCACGATTGATTGTGAGAACATAGCAATTGATTGATCGATGACCTAAAACTAGGTCAAGTTGGCTCATGGACAAAACGGACCGGAGTGATATTGATTAGTGTCTGCCATGAACAACTCTATCACGTGGTTGGTGGATCAATAAAAACTGATGGACGATTGCGTACTTGGTGCATGTAAACGTTTCAAATTCTATCGATACATATCCCGCACCGATCGAACCTGCGCTTCTCTCAACAATGAGTTCTCATTAGTATTCTTGTTGTTGGTTCAAGAAATACCCAGGTTCTTTTTTCCTCAAGACTAAATCTCCTTCAAACACTGTGAACCAAGTCGTTTGAACTTCCAGATCCTTTAATCTGAGATCGGTCAAATGTTTGAATTTTCCTCAGTATTCGCGAGCTTACCTAATCCAACCTATGTTAGTTATCATAACTCGCGTCTTCGTCATTCTATTCCGAGTTTTGTGAGACTTGCATCAGATGCTGTCTTCGGTTGAACAAGTTCTTGCTGAAAGGTTGATGGTTTTATGATCCAGTTCAGTTCTGGCAGTTCTTACAACCATTATCCATACACTTTCATCCGTCAGTTTTTCAATTCAGAATGAACTGAACTGGCTTGCGACAAATCCTTTGGGATATCATGATCCACTAGATCCGCTTATGATTTCTTACTTTCCCCAAATATGCTGTATAAAGAAAACTCTATTGCTGGTAACCAGGCTCACATTTTTACCAAGTGATAGGGCTCTGAGGGAACAAATGAATAAATTTTCATATTTCCAATTTTTTTGTTAATTTTTTGTTTTCGTTGCCTGCTGTGTTTTCGCTGTGTAAAAAATTGATTAATACAGTACAACCCTGTACGGAGATTATCCTATCCGTGCAGCACATTTTCCTCTTTCATAGTTTCTATGGCATGAGAGAGGACCCTCTTTGTTGTGGATCACATGCTAGCACTAGTCCCAATTCGTTCCGCTCTATCTCGCTTGCCCCTTGCGGCAGGACAAAAGCAGCTGTCTCGGAGTGCATTGCACATTGGCCAACGTTGCCGGTGGTGAGGAGGTACTGTTTGTCAATTGCATTAACGTCTTCTCGGCGGTTCACATGGAAGGTTTAATTGGTAACAAATTCCCGCTAATCCAACCGGTTCCACAAATCCGTTGTATACGTCCGTTGAAAGAGGATGAAGATCCACGGTTGACTGTGAAAATGGGTTCGAAAGGTAAGTAAATCGCGTCGGTCAGCTTTTTTCGTTTCAATGTGCACCCGTTCGCTAAGCCTAAACGGGTCGTCAGACAGAGAAAAGATACAGAAAGTATGCAAACCATACATTAGTGAAGTATGCGTATGGGCCCGAAAGACCGATTTGGAGCAAACAGATCGATAGACAGTTCAGGTCAGGTCAGGTTTCTAGGACGAAAACAGGCTTTCGCCTAGCGTGCGTCCAGATTCAGTAGGATTTGGGTTTTCATGATTCGTTTTCCTTCTCTAGATTCGGACAGCTACTCCAGCGAGCAACAATACCAGGGGTTTACTTCAGGTGATACTGTTTAGAGTTAAGTCAAAAAGGTTTAC